TTTTTTTTTTTTTTTTTTTTTTTTTTTGGTCTGTTGGGGTTTTTTTTGTTTGTTTTTAGTGAAAGTTATTGGCTTTCAGAGCTGAAAAGGAAAGCCTACATAGGTGACCTGAATGCACAGGTGGTGGGCCCCAGGTTCAGCAAACAGGAGACAAGTTAGAAAAAATGCCACAGATGTGTTTTTGGAAAGCAGGCACTAATAATTTCTCATCTAATCTTACCTTATGATTTTCTTTGGTCAAGACCAAAGACCCATGATTTTCAAAAATGATATAGACATTAATAGATAGAAATATCATGGGTGATTGTCTAGTTAATGTTCCTGAGGAGAAAAATAATTGATGAAATTAACACATTTTTTAAATTTGCAAAAATAGTCACTCTCCCAACTTCTTACACCTTTCAGCTTTCTCTTGAAGCAGATCAGATGTGTTCAGTGCTATCTGGGCCCAGGGAGCTTTTGCCATCCTTTTCATACAGCATCTGTTGCCATACAGCATCTGTTGCCACTAATGTGGACCTCCACACTAAAAGTTAGAACCCTTTTTTTTTAATTGAGAAAATATGGTTCTGAATATTATAGGAAATAGAACTGAACCACCTGTGCAAACAGAGTCGATGTGTGCATTAAGAAAAAACAGACGTGTTAGGTATAGACATGTTGTTTACCAATCTGTAAATAAATATGAAGATAGATGTGTACAAGCATGTTAAACTTTGCTTACTTCAAAGAATCACGCAACGTCCCTCTGTATAGACCCAAGAGAAGGTTGTGTGATTGGATCTGATTTTAAGGGATACAGACGTGATACAACTGAGGAAGCTCCTTCCAGTTAGGGTCCTAACTTTGGTGGTACGTGTAACTTGCTGAAAAGCAGACCCTAGTAGTATTATATATTCCAGCATTTCTGCTGAAGTGCTTGTGACTAGGTGATGTACGTAGTGGGTATTCAGGCAGAACGCAGGCCAGGAGGCACAGAAGGATGAGTCATAAATGCAGCAACGCTCTGGTCACTGAGTTGCCTCCTGCTTGGGAGTGATCTCACGCTGTGATGTTCATAGGTTTTGTGCRCTGTCCCCTTGGGGAAGGAGAGCCGTGACAAGTAACACCTGTCCAGACAAATGTTCTGCCATGAGAAAAATTGTAAGAGAAAAAATGTGCACTGGAGAGAGGCATTTGGGCTATCCAGAGCTGCTGTGGCCTCGCACATCCAGCTCCAAGATGAAGCAGTGGAGGCAGCAGCTCTGAGGCTCCAGTGTCGCAGGGACCCGAAGGTATTTGTCCTTCCTGGATCATCCTATGTGCTGCTGTGACACTCCCTGCTCTGCCTATGCCAGTACTTTTATCCGGACATGGGAGCGCATAGTCTTTGTGCCCCAACTCCATCAGTGCTGTGACTGTGTTACCTAACTACTCTCCTCCCCTCTGATGCYGATACGAGCAACCCTTGATATCCTTCAGTGCGCCAAAACTTCAGGATGTCTGAGATCCCCTTGTCAGAAAGATGGGAATGACTCATTTACACTGAGTCAATGAATAGCACTAACCTGCTAATAGCACTAACCTTAAAAGACTATCTTCCCAAATTTGAGTTTGAAATAACCTTACTTTCCTGCAGTATATACCATGAGAGCCAGTTTTCTTCAATCAGGACCATGTATTGCTTACCTCCTGTTTGGAGGCATAGGCCATGGCCCACAGCTCAGGCTTTCTTGCCAAGAGCCTTGGCAAGGACCAACCTTGTCCAGCTGAGGGAATTCACTTTTCCATCTCTTGGCCATCAAACCTCAGAATGACACAGAGAGTGACTCCAGAAAGACATACACAGAATCACAGAGCAGTGGAGGTTGGAAGGGGAGCTCAAGAGATCATATAGTCAACCCCTCTGCTCAAGCAGGGACGCCTAGAGCACCTGGCACAGGGTCTTGAAAGGCAGATTTTGAAAATCTCAAAAGAAGGGGACTCCACAATCTCTCTGGGCAGCSTGTTCCAGTGCTCAGTCATTGTAACAGTGAAGAAGTTCTTTCTCATACACAGATGAAACTTCCTGTGTTCCAGTCCGTAGCCTTTACCCTAACAATAGCCATAATCCTAACCATACACCAAAACCTGAGGTCACCAGGCTAAACGGCAAATATGTTCCTGGCACCAGTCTGGATACAGCACTAAGTGCAAAGAMGCATGCTAAAATTTCCATATACACAAAGTCACCAACTTTTCATACACTTCMGTAAAGATGTTAAAAGCTGAACTGGATAAATTGCTCATATTCTTGAACAGAAGTGATTAAGTTGGTAAAATAATCAGATCAGCTATTACAAGCCTAACTGTTACAAACAATTAATTTGTGTGTAGGATAAAGTCCTGACTCATGCGTTACTGGGGAAGAAAATTCTAGAAGTAAGACTTTCAATGAAACAAAAAAAAATATAGCAGAGAGGAGTGAGAGAAAACAGAGCAAATAATTAAATAAGGAGTCTAAGAAAACAGGGAAAAATTTCAAAGCTCCAGTGGTAGAGAAAGTGTTAAAGTAAGTTTGAGAGACCATTGTGGAGGAGTAAAACAGAAAGACCAGGTCCCATAGGGAACCTATGTCTATGAGAGACTTACAGCTGTAGGAGGAAATCTGGAAAAATGGGATTAATGAGCAGAGGTAGCAACAGAGAGACACAGASACCACGTACCTAAGAAAACAAAAGAGACTCTATTTATTCTCTGCTTTTTCTTCTACTTAATGTTAGTTTGAAATAAATGAGCTTCTTTAAGATGTCATATTAGCTTCCTTAAGTTCATGTTCCAGCAGCTCATCTCCTTCTCAGACCAGATTGTGCATTTCCTGCATTTCCTAAATGCCTTTTTCACTAAAAACTACTACCCTGCCCTCACCTCAGTTTGGACATACTGCTGGTTATAGCAGGTTACTTAATTCCTTGAGTGGTGAGAGAAAACAAATCTTTACAGAGTGGTTGATGGTGAGCCACCATGTGAGCACAGAGACATCAGAATTGCTCTTTTCAATTGCTTTCTCACTTAAGAATGGATCAAGTGATCCCTGGAAACACCGTCTAGCGGATGCAAATCACTGATGAGGAAAGACAGGGTGCTTTGGAGAAGGGACATGTTTTGGTAATATTGCAGGAGGATRGTGTAACCCTCAGGTACATTTGACAAAGGCATCTCCTCAGGGCGCTGAAGGACCTTTCTGTCATGGAGAAAAAGAATACACCAAGTGTGAGGCACAGAAACTGCCTCCATGAATTTTCATGCTGGAAAGGGGAAAACAGGAAAATATTCTGCATGTCTGCACCTCTTGTTCATCCCTGGGTGTCTGCTTATGGTCACTGAAGGAGAGCAGTTATCTGATATGACTAAGTACAACAATCTTCCTTGGGATTATTAGTGTTTTTATCAGTGGAGGATGAGGAAGACATTGGTACAGCTGGATGTGAGCTTAAGGCGGGCAGAGAGACAGGGATGGGGCATATGAGCAGGCGCAGAGGCTGCTGTGCAGACCAGCAACCGTGGGAGGCTGCCTATGGCTTGGTGTGGTGCACACAGAGGCATAACACCCATCTTGGCCTCAACAGCTCACTGTTTTGTGCCTCAGTAGAAGTGGCATCCCAGGTGGGATCTGCAGGTTTCCTAGTTACACCTTGGCAATCCTGACAGAGCTGCCTGAGTGGCATATGCGGAGCAGATGCTAGACCAGGGAGATGGAGGCACTTTCTCACTCTTAGAGAGTGCCAGCTTGGGTAAGTGACATTTGGCTGAGTGGCTGCCAGAGCATCAGGCCAAAGACTCAAACACAGGAGAATCCTGAAGAGAACATCTAATGTTAAGGGTGATGTGAACATAAGCGATGCGCTTGACACTCAGGAAAAAAAATCAGGAGAGAAGGCAAACTAAAGCTATGCAATATCTGACGTGGCTTTTGCATTCTATGGTCTAGAGGATACAGGCCTGGTCCTCTTCTTTGTTAAGCAAAATGCTCCTTTAATTCAAATAGTAGATAAAAGTGCTTTGGAGGTATAGTGCCAGGATTTAGCCTGGCTGATGAACTGATGTAGGGTTTGATACAATAGGATGACTTTCCTAACTCACTTGCACGCTGTAGAATGAAAGAAGGGGATTTAGGTGGATTAAAACAATTAAAAGGATGTAGCGATCTCACGGAGCTGTGTGTCCTCATGGATAAATGCTGTTATTTGTGGCCATTCAGCCCAGGGTCGGAGTTATGTCCTGGTCTACAGTAAGCTCTCGCTGTAGTTTCTAAGAGCTCAGCTTGTATAGATTCACTTCCAACTGAAAAGTTCAGTAGCTAGCCTTATTATAGCAGAGCAATTATTTTCATCGGGTATTAGTGTAAAAGAGGGAGATATGTGCAGGAGCTAAAGAAACACACACCATTTAAGTACCTAGGGACAGTCGATATGACAAGGAGGGTGAACAGGCCAAGGACCATAAGCTAGATTTCGAGACTGGATTTGGAGACTGTCATTTTGGGGGCCAAAGAAGCTGATTGCTTTTTAAGGTACAAATCTGAAGGTGACTGGCCACCGGCCTGTCATCCCTGTCGTTATATCTCCTGATACTATGAGACTGAATCCAGGGACCTCGTCGGCCCTCCTCGGAGCAGGTCATCCTTGGGAGAGGTCCACAAGACCAAGTGCCCAAGGCACAAGGGGTCTCGCTCCCTCTCTCTGAACAGCTACGCTTCCCTTACAGCCGTCCTCTTGCTCTGGTGCCTGCGGGATGTCACCGTGGGTCCCTGGGGGACATGCAGAGGCGGGTGCAGCCCCCGTGCTGCCCTAGCCCTCCCACGTTAACACAGGCTCAGCTGCCGGAGGGCCGAGGGCTGCCTGGCTTAGGTAAACCTGCAGGGCCCTCCGCACGCCAGGTTGTGCCTCGCTCACCTTGGGGCCTGCGGTGGGCAGGGAAGCGCCCGCTCCCACACGCCAAGCCCCCCAGGGCTCCAGCACAGAAGAAGCTGGGAAATATTTTTACAGCTCCTCCACCAGGAACCTGAATAAAGGAAAAAAGGAAAGAACAACCCACCAAGCAATAAGGGCAGCGTGATGAGCAATTCCCAGGCTCTTTGCATGCCGGCAGCCTGTCAGACAGCATCTCCCCCGTGAGGGCAGAGGAGCAGCTCGGCTCTCTCCAAACTCTCCCCTCCAGGAGCGAACATCCCCCGGCGCTGCCATCGCAGCCCCCCATGCCGACACGCGGCCGGTGGCGATCGGCACCCGTCCGGAGAGCCCCCTGGCAAAAGCTCCGTGCTCCCCTCTTTTTTTGGGTGTACCTTCAAACAGGACACACCTTTGCCATGATACTTCCCAACTCCTAAAATACGGATGTATTCTGGGGTGGCCTGGAGGGCCCAAGGCTAGAGCCCGTCCTCCTCGTGCCTCTCGGGCCTTACCTGTATCTCTGGCTGCTGCTTTTTCTTCCCACTCTCGCAATGGCAGCAGGAGGGGCATGGGAATGAGAGAGAGGAGTTTCGGATGAGCCAGCGCGAGCCCCAAGTGCCACGGGTGTCCGGGGGGCAAGTTGGGAGCGCAGCCGGGAGCCTCTTGCAACAAACATGAGGCGAGCTTGCTGGAAGCGTGGGCGCTAAATCCCAGCCAAGAGTCCTGCTTCGGCACGAGAACGAAGGGCGTCTCACACCGCGCTGACGGGGGGAGGCTCTTCCCGGCGGGAAGGGCCACTTGGCACCGCGCGTGGGAACGGAGCCCCTCAGCCCTGGCTTGCAGCCTGGCAGCTGCCAGCCCCGGCGTTCCCGGGCAGGGGTGTTGCTATGGGAATTCGGGAGGGCACTTGCGGGGAGCCCTCCGAGGCAGCTGGATCTGGAGGGAAGCAAAACTACGAGGAGGTGGCAGGGGGAGAAAGGCACAGCAAGATGCATGCATGCGAGAGGAGGGACCTTCCCCGAACGGGAGTACAGCGGCGTGCACAAGAGCAGGGACACCAAACTGTCAGGCAGCGGTGGCTCGGCTTCTTAACAGAAAGCTTCTATTTTCCTGGGGTTTGAYGCTGGAAAAAGAAAAAAACCAAAAAGCCTAGTAAAACCCCAGCTGTGGCAAGATGGGATCTGCCTCCTCGACTTACCGGCCCAAGTGTATTTATCTGGATGTTGATGGACGGATTCAAAAGGTACTTGTGCTGTTTTTCACCGAGTAGCGTGCGAGGACCGAGCAGCGGCTGCAAGCGGGCTGTGCTGCACAACCCATTCCTGCCCGCGAGCCGGGCGCGCGCCTGCATCCAGCTCCGCTGCGGGCTGCACAGCTCTTCCCGAAAGGAGCCGTGGGCAGGGGGCACTGGGGGGGGGGGCTTGCCGGCTTCTGCTTTGTGTGTGAATTTTTATTGAAAGGGGAGCAGCGGGAGGCGAGCGCTCCGTGCTGCCAGCGCGCGGGGGCTGTGTGGGAATCCTGCCTGCAGGATTTCTCCCCAGGAGCAGCATTTCAGCGTGTTTACAAAGTTTTGCCTGCGGAGAGATGCTTCCCTGGTTTTCACCCAGGCAGGGAGAACTGGAAAGCAGACCGTGCTGAGTTATTTTGAGGTTGCCTACCAGGGTTTTAATGCTATGGAGAAGTTCAATGGCAGGCAGGTGTTGGTTTATTCTGTACTGTGCTGTGGTGTTGAGGGGTCCCCACTGCCTTGGTGGAGTTGTTCAGAAATGTTGATAAACATTAATTGAAACTTTAGCTTATATTGTTCCTGCTTGTTTGCTTAACCGCTGCCCACAGCACAGGGGAAACTGCAGGAGAAACATGTATTACGGGTAGAAGAAAGAGCTCACATGCTGTAAAGAAGATAGCCCACTGCTTTTAAAACAGGAAAAAAAGGAAAAAAGCTCCAGCATTTTTTGCAAGTTACTCTTCATGTTCCTTTCATCAGCAATTCTTCAGCCACAAAACAAATGCCTTGTTTTATGCAATACCAACCGAAAGCCAGTCAGACGCTCAAGAGCAAGGAAATCCTGACTTGCAAAATTCAAATATCCCCTTCTTGTGCTCCTGCTCTAAATCTCCATTTCACCCAGCCTTGCCCTTTTTTTCTTTTTCTCTCTTTAAAAGGAAACAGTAAAGAATGCCTTTCCCATCCCTTTCATGCATTAATAACCATAGAAACAAGGCAATGGGAGAGCTAATACTTGCAACCGTGTCCCTCAGTGTCTGTGGTCCCCTTTGCAACKGCCTTGGAGACCTGCCATGTTCCCCACAGTGAGGCAGGTACTYCGAGCACACAAGTGAAGAAGTTTGCAATCAGAAACAAGACTTGGAAAAAAATTAWAATCTGTGCAAGGTTTCCGGAGCAGAGTACTCCACTGGTCCTGGGGCTTCAACAGGAGGTGATCCCTCTGCTGCAGAGGATTCCTCTGTACTGGCAGAGAGGAGCCCACAGGCTCTGCTAAGAAAAAGGGGCTGCTTCTGTTTTGCCAGGATTTAAATGAGTTGGTCTCCTGACAGCCCCCAGAATCAATACTTTTCCTGGCACCTTTACAGCTAAATATTAAGATGTTTTGGCATTTCAGAAAGGTTGTAAGCATTTCCCTACATGTTATTAAATCATATTATGTCAGCCATGCTTTTTTAAAAAAATAATAATTTCCCAGAATCAGTCTCCAGAGATTAGTTTTGTCATTAAAAACACAGAAGAGGCACAATTGCATGAACAAGCAAATGCGAACTCAGGCAATGTTAAGTTTTCTGCTCGATAAACGTTATCTGTTTCTTTTGTCAGATGTGAAATTCCATCTGTGCAATGTTTGGAAGGATGCCGGCAGTAAAAATCCCGAGTAAATGSGGTTCACTCAGGGGTAAGCAGGGCATATCACAGATTCTTATGCCTCCTCAGTAACAACATCATTAGGGGAAAAAAAAAAMCACCCTTAATATCTTCCAAGGAATACAGTATTTGAGGTTTCTAAAGGGAGTTTGTTAAATCAATGCTAAGCTACTCCTTCTGAACTYAGTAATTAGGTATGAGCTTCCTTAGAGCAGAGTTTGCTGAGTTTGAAAGGACTTAGCTCTAAATTGCAGCTGTCTCGGTGAGTGTTGTGTTGTTATGTGGGCATACCACGATCACGGCTGTAATAGCAATTCTTATTACATAATGTTATACTTATGATTATGGTCCAATTCTGAATTCACAGCAGTGTAAACTCAGGGCATGCTACTTACTTAGAGGGAAGTTATTTTCCAGCTCAGAGTATARGAAGGGACAATTCAAGCCCAGGAAATACCACACTACCTCCTCCTCCCCACCCCGGCACACTACAACTGAGTGTGTGAAAATGCTCTACAGCATGAGTGCCGAATTGGGCTGAACAGGAATRAGTGCCGGCAGGTAACAGAGACACAGAGGGCAGGGCAAAATACTTGAGCCCAGTAATTTGCTCAGATTATTGGGGATGCAAGGGTTGTCATTGGCTTTGAAATCCTTCTCAGTGGCTGCCAAAATAAAGAAGGCAATGTCAGCTGGGGTTGAACATAGGATGGTGATTAAAGAAAGCATGCCTGAGAGAGGAACAGATCAGATCCAGACCTCCTTTTCCTTGCTCGTGGAGCAAGGAACAACTCGCCTCTCTGGTCATTTCCTTGCGGGCAAGCTGGAAGTGGAGTCTGCTCCACATCATTGCTYCCATGGGCAGCCTCCCTTGCAGCTCCAGCGTCTGCAGAGCACGTGGTTTGCTACCTTTGCCCCTCTATGCCTGGTCTATGCTAAGCACAGTGCACCCAGCCCCAGTGTGATTATTACTCTTGGTACATGCAAAGAGCATATCACTCTCGKGGATAATTATGCTGCTCCTCCAGCACAGCAAATACACCCCACAGCCTTTAAAAGAAGCAGCACCTGGCAATTGGGTTTATAGCCATTCTGCCTTGGGTCGCTGGAGGGTTTTTCCTGGTGGCAGGCAGCAGCTATCAGTGACTAACCTCTTCCACAGAACAGCACGRTCTCCTCTGTGGCCTCTCCCAAGGGGTCAGAGCTCAGTGCCCGCGAGGACACGTATCCTCATGTCAGGGAGCATTACCTCCCTGCCTCAGTCAAGAGCCAAGCAAGCTCCTCCTGCCCGCAGCCATGGCAGGGGCATGAACCCAGGGGAAAGGAGTGAACCTCAGCTGTGGATGGGAACGAGTGGGACAGACACACAGCTGCCGGCAGGCACAAGCAAAGCGGGGACTTTGGCAACAGCCAGGTGGACACGTGAGGCTGGGGAGAGCTGTGTCCTGCCAAAAACATGGGGCATCGCCAGGCAGGTGGAGGTACTGCTGATTGCAAGGCATAGGGTGGCAGAGGGACATCCATGTAGGGCTGCTCCAGAGGGAAGATCAAAGCCTCCGTACTATGACAGATGCTAGCTGAACTGCAGCTCTTAGGAGATCATCTTCAAAGAGGTCCATTTGTTCTTAATGCTGATTTAAAACTAAAAAAAAAAAAAAAAAAAAAAAGGGAGTTACAAGGTAATGCACTTTCTATTTTCCTATTTAGGGTCTAAGTAAAGTGGATGTGTATCTGTGGGGGATGAGTGCTGCTTATTTATTTATTTTTAAAAGAACTTCTTGCCCGGAGAAGCACAGCAAGTCACAACCCGCTTGCCTGCTCTCAAAGCCTCTCACTACGCTTTACGCCCATACCCATGGCTTAACACGCTTGTGCAAAAYACTCATGACCCACCTGGGCCACAGCCTGTTCTGATTTCAGGCAAAAAACAACCGATGGTCATGAAAAAAGAAACACAAAAGCTACCCATGGCCTTGCTTCATATAAGAAGCAGCGTATGGGGATTTCTCCTTGCTCCTGGAGTGCCACTAGATGGGGTCAAGAACCAAAACCCCAAAGCGGCCYGCAGAGCAGTAAAGCTTGCTCTGCAAAACCTGAGGAAGCCAAGAGCTCCAGATCCACAATCTTACTTGCTTTGCAACAATATTAACCCTTTGGSTACTTTTTAAAGAAAAATCCCTATTGAGCCTGTTTCAAATCAGAAATCCACCAACGCGAAACACTGATGCCCGTATATGTTCCACACATAAACCTCGGGGGAACATTAGGATTGCTTTTGACCTTTGAGATCAAAATGAACAAAGCAGGGCCAGCCAGTGAGTGTGTTCCCAAGTGGGTGGCTTCATGGCTCGCATTTTCAAATGTCACGGTGTAGTGGCTTCGCTTACAGAGTTGTGAGGAGTTCCTCTGAGAAAATGCTTAGTCTGAGATGGTTTCTGTTTCCAGTGTCTTAATCAACAGCATATTCGTAGCAAGGATGGAAAGTCATGAGGGTACAGAGCCTGGATTAACCAGAAGAAAAAAAGAAAAGAAATAAGGGACCACCGCCTTTGTCTAAGATTCAAGAAARTTACTCAGGCTGGTTTTCTTCCTTTTCAGAAAGCAAGTAAAGAATTTGGAGTCATTTTACTAGTTTGCTGAGTTGCTCTGGATGCCAAAGAGAGAGATCACTTTTTTTTTCTTTTTTTTTTTTCTTTTTTCCTTTTTTTCTCTTTTAAAGCAATTTATTCAGGCTAACCTTTCTTGGTCCCTGCTGTGCTGACCTGTAGAGCAGGACCCTGGGACACCCACAGCTCCTATTCCTCTTGTCCTGAGGTCCTTGTTGAGCGGAWCAAAGCCAAGATTATGTCTTGGCGCTGTGGTTATTGCACTCAAATGTCAGCCATTAGGAACAGTTTCATCATGTGAGCTTTTCTTTTTAATTAGAGCAACAGCGACTGTGGTATAAATGCCTAGGCTCTAGTAAACCCAACAGATTTTTCCAAAGCTCGCTGAGCTATTTTTAACACGCCAAACTGGATTCAGATTAAAAACAAAGTACAGGGGAAAAATAACGGCGTGATGATCAGTTCAAGGCCGTTGCATATTTTTGCACCCCAAGATGTACAGACAGTCCTAGCGACTCCCTCGGCTCAGCAGGGCCAAGCCTGCTCTGCGGTGCCYGCAGCTCCGCTCTCCCTGGCTGTCTAGCCGGAGGATTTAGTTATTTGGGAAATTGCCCTCGGCTCCTGAGGGCCGGGAGGCCTCGGTGTGCGGAGGCTGAGGTGTTTCAAAAGCCGTCGGCACGCGGGGAGCCCCCAGGGTCCGCCCTGCGGGGCCAGGGCTCCTCCATCCCTCCCCACACGCGGACGGGCCCAAGCCAGACC